ATGTATAGTAGTAAGTATTGTTTGGTCCACTACCCTTCTATATTTCTTACTTTCTGTGCTTAAGGGACCATATTATGTTTTTGTTACTGATTGCTAGCATAATCATACTGTGATTAGAGAGCACACTCTGGTGTGACTGTAGTATTTTGAAATTTGTTGATATTTTCCTGATGCCCCAACATAGGATTGCTTTTTGTGTACATGCTTTGTGTACCTGAAAATAATGCATATTTTACTGTTACTGGGTGAAGTTTTCCATCACATTATGATTACTAGTTGTATTCTTTTTTTTTTGAATTGGAGTCTCATTCTGTCACCCAGACTGGAGTGCAGTGGCCGCTCCCGGCCACCGCAGCCTCGACCTGCTGGGCTCCGGCGATCCTTCCGCCTCAGCCTTCCGAGTAGCCGGAATTACAGGCATGCGCTACCATGCCCGGCTGATTTTTTGATTTATTGTAGAGATGAGGTCTTGCCTGCCCAGGTGGGTCTCGAACCCATGGGCTCAGGCAATCCACTCACCTCAGCCTCCCAAAGGCGCGGGATGACAGGCTGAGCCACCAAGCCCGGCTACTAGTTGTATTCTTTATACTTAATGCATCTTTTTTATTCTGTAGCTTTACTGATTTTTTCAATTTGTGTTTTATTGGTTACTTGAGTGAGATGTGTTTTAAAACCTTACATATGATTTTAGATTTCTTATTTGCAGTTCTGTCAACTTGTCTTTATTTCAAGGCCATATTATTAGATGCACATTGTTTATAACATATGCAATTTTTTATTATATAAGATAGAACTTTGTGTGTATAGTTGTTCCCTTGGTATATGTAGAGTATTGACTCCAGGATCCCCTCCCCCTGTATACCATAATCTATACATATTCATGTTCCCAAGTTGGTCCTTCAGAGCCTGTACATATGAAGACTCAGCCTTCCATAAATGCGGGTTTCATATCCCACAAATACTGTATTTTCCATTCGTATTTGACTGGAAAAGAAAATCCACATATAGCTGTACCCAAACAGTTCAAATTCGTGTTGTTCAAGGGTCAACTATAAATACTTAGACCGTATTTTATGTATTTTATATATATTAGAAATTTTTGCCACGCATGGTGGCTTACACCTATAATCCCAGCACTCTGGGAGGCTGAGACAGGAGGATCACTAGAGGCCAGGAGTTGAAGGCCAGCCTAGACAACAAAGGGAGACCTTGTCTCTACAAAAAATAAAAAATAAAAAAATTAGCCAGGCATGGTGGCATGTGCTTGTAGTCTTGGCTACTCAGGAGGCTTAAGATGAAAGAATTGCCTGGGCCCAGGAAGTTGAGGCTGCGGTGAGCCGTGATCATGCTACTGCATTCTGTCCTGGGTGACAGAGTGAGACTCAAAAAAAGAAAAAAAAAATTGTTAAAACAAGTTGCCTACTCCCTTTATCTCTATAGTGCTTCTTGCCTTAGAGCACAGTTTTTCTGTTATGATTATAACTATATCAGTTTTACTCTTTTTAGTGTTTGTTTGATAAATCTTTTACATCTGTTTACTCTTAACCTATGTGTCTTTATGGTTTAGATATCTTTTATAAGTAGCATATAGCTAGAGTTTATAATTTTGTATGGTATGATAGTATTGTTCTTTTTGGTTTTAGAATACATTATCTCCTCTATCTCTCATATGCTACTAGTATGTTGTTATACTATTATTTTTGTTATGTATTTTAATCAATTTTTCTAAAAGTTTTATATTGCCCAAAAAGAAGGAAATAATACAGTGAATTGGACAGTCAAAAATTATAGATTGAATATCCCTGATTCTAAAATCTGAATTCAAAATGCTCCAAAATCTGAAACTTTTGGAGCACCGACATAAATGCCAAAAATAGAAAATTTTACACATAAGTAGTTAACACATACTTTGTTTCATGCAAAAATTTATTAAAATATTGTACAAGAAGGTGTATATGTATAGAACATGTATATGTAACATAAATGAATTTTGTATTTAAATTTGACTCCCATCCCTAAGATATGTTATTATATATATGCAAATATTGAGAAAATCTGAAAAAAAATCTAAAATCCAAGAGACATCTGGTCTCAAGCATTTCAGAGATACTCAACCTGTACTGAGTGTATTTAGAATTGAGGAAAGACATGATTGACAGATAAAGAAAGAGAAATTTATCTCAACCAGGAAAAATTAAAATAAATCCACATCTTAGACTTAGTATATTAAAACTTCAGAATATCACACATAGAGGTATTAAGAGTAGCTAGAGAGAAATGAAAAATTACTTATAAAGGAATGACAGATTGTCCATGGACACCTCAATAAACAACAGTGAAAGTTGGAAAACAGAGAATATACTAAAGTACTGAGAAAATAACTGCCAACCTTTAATTGTGTTCACAACATATCTGTATTTAAGAATGTTGGAGAAATAAGGACTTTTTAGATCAAAACCTGAGGGAAACATACTTTTTAAGAGCACTCAGATTACTTAACAAAAATAATCCTATATATGGCTATAAAGTTCAGAGAATTCAGATCACACAGTATATAGCCTCTAGCCACAGTTCTGTTTAATCTAGAAATTGCAACATGTTTTTCTAATCAACGTCTAAATACCTTTACTATGAGCATCATCATGGCAATATATTTTTAAAAAGTTAAAATGAAATACATGAACCAAAACAGTCTCAAGAAGAAATAATTAGTTTAGATACACCTAGTAAAGAAATTGGATCAGTTGTTTAAAGTTTTTTTGACAAACTTCAGACTCAGAGAAACGGTTTTAGAAAGGAGTTGTGTATGTAGAAAATCTTAAAGAATTTATAGATGTTTGAAGTAAACAGTTTTTACATGTGTTAGTAAGATTGTTAGATATATAGTTATCACACAGAAATCATGACTAGTCTTAAACACCTGTAGTGAACTATTAGAAAATGCAATTTAAAAAATACTATTTATGTGCAAATGAAAATGCTAGTTCTCTCCAAATTGGTCTACACATTTACTTAAAATTTCATCAGGAATTTCTGTAGAACTTGACAAATGGAATCAAAATTTATGTGTAAGAGCAATAGGCCAAGAATAACAAAGCCAATCTTTAAGAACAAAGTGGGACAATATGCCATAACAGATATAAAGATTAATTGTGTAGCTAAGGCAATAAAGACATTGTGGCACTGACCAGTTTAATAGAAGAGAGAGCTTAGAAAAGATCTATACATAAATGAAAACAGGACACAATACAGATTAGTATTGTAGATATGCAGTGTTGGAACATTTAAACATTCATATATAAAAATATGAAATTCTATTCCTACATTATACATAAACACAAAATCCTTAAGGATATAATCATGAAAGACAAGACTTTGAAATGTTTGAAGAAGATATGGGAGAATCTTTTTATGGTCTGGTGGTAAAGAAAGATTTCCTAAATAAGATGAAGAAACACAGCCATATTTGAAAACATTGATAAATTCATATATACTCTAATTAATAACTTCTGATTTTTCAGAAAGCAAAGAGACAAACCTCAAACTGAGAGAAATAGCTACTATATACATAATGAACAAAGGATTAGATTCTGTCATTAATACAGAACTCCTGTAAGTTATTAAGAAAAAGTGAGGCACAAAATTGGTGCATGACGTTAACACATCTCACAGAACAGAAAACATGAAAGGTTAAACATATGACATAATTTTCAGGAGAATGTAAATTAAATGACAGAACTTTAGTCAAATACTTTTGTCTGACACTGTCAACTCTTGGTGAGTTGTGAAGCAAGCAAAATTCATAACATTGTTGCTCAGAATTTAAATTGATACATGTTCTTCGGAAATAATGTCATTATCTTATGAAGCTGGATATTCAATCTGCCCTATGACTCAGTAATTCCAAATCCTAGGTGTATACTATAACGAAATTCTACACATTTGTACCAGGATATGTTTATAAGTATATTCACAGCATTATTGTGTTACTAACCCCAAATTGGAGACAATCCAGTGCATCTGAACAATTGGATACATAAATAAACCATGGTATATTCATATAATGGACACTACTTATCAGTGAAAATGAATGAACTATATACACATAAATGTCTAGAGTATACTGAATGAAGAAAGCAATCTAGAAAAATACTGTATTATGAAAACATTTATGTAAGTTTCAAAACCAAAAAACTCAGAAATATTGTTTAGGGATATACAATTATACAATAAGGCTATAAAGAAGAGCAAAGGAATAATAAATATTAAATTAAGTATCTGTTGTTACAGTTGAAGGAACAGTAGGGGAAAATTAATGAAGAGGGACAACTCAAGTTTTCATCAATATTGGTAATGGTCTGTGTCTTAAATTTGTTAATTGACTCATGGATACAGAATACAGTCTGATTCATCATTAAATTACTCATGCCTTCCTTCCCAATTCCTGTCTCTGCCATATATACCCCCAACCGTAATTTAGCTCTAAGGTAAAAGTGAATCTGCAGAGTGGATGCTAATTCAGGATCTTCCTTCTTTGTTGATAATTGTCATATTTGAGTCGTATCTATATCACTCAGTAAATAAATTATACAAAGTATATTAAAATAATAGAAATCAAAGATGTTGCTTCTTTCTAGAAAATTAATCTCATCAAGAATATTCCTTTTCTTGAGTCACATGTGTTTTCTGTCCAGCTGAAATAATTATTGTAATAAAACATTGAACTCAGACTAACCAAAATAAGTATTGTTGAGAATTTATTAAAAATAACTATATGGCTACTTATTTTATATTATTTGTCAAGACTGAATACATATTTTGGGGAGAAGACAGATTTTATGAAAAATAAAGTGCATCTCACCATATGAAAAATGTAAGGAAAATGATCCGACCATAATTCCTATGAATAAGTAATTTTTTAAGATTTAGAAAAGCACAGAATGAATGTGGAGTATTTTCAAGTAATTTACTAATATTAGTGCTACTTTCTTTGTTTAAAGGTCAGTAAATTAGAGTTAGAACTAGAAAGTGTCAAGCAAAAATTTGAAGAAATGACTGACAGCTATCAAAAAGAAATTGAAGACAAAAAGATATCAGAAGAAAATCTTTTGAGAGAGGTGGGAAAAACTAAATATGCTTAGAATTTATTATGCTAAAATTCTGTGTTTATTAGCATTTTAAGCGAAAAGTAATAAATATTCTTAATTTTTGAATGATTTTTAAACGGTTTAGTAAATTTATCAGGGATAGTTACAAGTTTTTGTATAAGATAAAAGTATCCTTGTTATCCTAAGTATTTGAGTGTTGAGTGATACATAATTATTTTGAAAGGATTAAATGGTTATCACAGTGTTACACTGTCATCTCACTTGATAGAACACCCTAAAAAAAGAAAATAGTAATGCATTTTCTATTTGTTTTCTTTCAATATCCTGGTTTTTGAATTTTGCCTGTTATTTAAGTAGAGCATATGTACTTTACGTTTAAGTTAAATTTGCTTTTTGTGCATTAATTTTAAGAAACACTTATTAATTTATTTGATAGGTTGAAAAAGCAAAAGCAATAGCTGATGAAGCAATAAAATTACAGAAAGAAACTGATATACGATGTCAACATAAAATAACCGAAATGGTAGCACTTATGGAAAAACATAAGGTAATTGTTTTCTTTTTATATAATGAAAATTAATAGGAGTCATATTTCTGTTCAATAATGGTGAAATAAAGGTAATCTTATTTGTCAGAGAAAATTATTATTGTGCAGTAGTGATTAATTATAGCTGGAACATCCTTGATCCCCCATTTCTTCAAGTTAGATCTTAACCATACAAAGCAGAGCCTGATTGTCACTTTCTTGAAGAAATCTTTCCTTAGCATTTATGATGGATGGAAGCAGTCATTCTTTTTCTGGATTTTCCGGCTGTTCTCTTATAGCACTTTCTATCTTGTATTTATCTTCATACATACCTAATATATACTGTCATTAATATTTGTATCCTCTGCTTATGTTTAACACATACTAGGTTAAACCAATTTTTATCAAAGTAATTAGTAGACAAAAGGCTTAATGTTTGTTGTGTTTGTATCTTATGCTTTTTAATTGTTATTTTAGAATAATTCTTCTGTAAGGGAATTAAGCCTCATTTCCCCGCAAGGTTAGCATTTTAAGAGAAAAGTAATGAATATTCTTAATTTTTAAATGATTTTTAAAAGACCTAGTAAATTTATATTAGGGACTGTTATGAGTTTCTATAGAAGCTAAAAGTATCCTTGTTATTCTAAGTATTTGAGTATTGAGTAGTATATAATTATTTTGAAAGGATTGAATGGTTATACCTATCCATTCATTTTTTAAAATTGCTGCCAGAATATAACATTTTATGAGGTGACCAATGAGAATTTAAAAAAAATAAATAATATTGTGAAATTACAGATTTCAACAAATATAATGTGTTTCAAACCAGTGCAGCTTTTATCCTTAATGATAACTCACATTTTCCTACCTCTGACTAGCAGGAGCATCTTGGAACTGATTGCTAAGTCCTTTTGACTTGACTCTGATTGTCTCTGAAAATTTATTTTTGTTGTGACAAAATGTTCAAGGTTTATTTTATATTTCCTGTCCCAAATTTGAAATCAGACACTTTTCTAGAAACCTTGTGTTTCTAGTATATTTTTAAATAACAAAATTCAGTGTTTCTAATTAAAAGAGTTATTTTTAGCTCTTGTTAAGTTACTTCCAAGATTGTTATCTATGTTTCACTGTTTAGGTTGTTTGAAAAAATATAATTGAAAAATTAAAAATATATATACCTAAAGATATATATTACTGAATTTATAAACATTACCTTCTGCAAATATGTTAGGTTACTAATATTATTAAAACATAATCTAGCCATTCAGTTTTAATATGCTAAAAATTTTTTCTTTAATATAGCACCAATATGATAAGATTGTTGAAGAAAGAGACTCAGAATTAGGACTTTATAAGAGCAAAGAACAAGAACATTCATCAATGAAAGCATCTTTGGTGAGATACACAATAGGGAAAAAAGAGCCAATTTTCATAATGTCAGCTGGTGATAAATAATATTAATCAAACTGTAATTTCTGAGCTATGGAATCAGAGTCTTAGATCTGAAAGGGATCTTATAGACCTTCTATTAAGTAATTTTCCAATTTATTTTTTGAAATAGTGGGATAAACTTTTTTTCCCAAAGGAAATGTTAGAAGCCCCAGCTAACTAATAAATTTGGAACCCTGATTGAAATTGGGAGAGGAGTATGGAATGAATTGGGAGAGGATGAGAAGAGGTACACATCGTGTTAAATCTTTCTTTAGAGAAAACTAGAAAAAAAAACATGTTTAATGAAGTCTTTAGTTATGGTCCACTAGCAGCAGTTATATAAGGAGACTTTTAAAGTATTTATATTTTATGAGTGAATTTATTTCTCTATGAAACTGAATTTACTTGAAGCACTACTTTTTCATTGTCTTGAGGAATAATATGGAAGCACTTATAAATTTCATGTTTCTTTTTCTTTAGGAAAATGAATTATCCAATCTTAAAAATGAGCTTTTGTCTGTTACAAAGCAACTTGAACTAGAAAGAGAAGAAAAAGTAGGTTTTGTGGCATTATGTATGAAATGATTGTAAAGTTTAAATGTAACTATGCATTTTTATAAATATGTCATATTAGAAAATAATTTGATAAATTTCAGTAAATAGGGATGAGCAAATGTTTTCCCATTAGCTTTTACTAAAAGTATTTAGATTATTTTCTCATGTAAATGCTAAACACATGTAAAGATTAGTGCACTGTTAAGAATAGGAATGCTTTTAAATGTACTGTATTTGAGAAATATCTCATATTAAAATGCTTACATATTTAGACGTGTTTTTTTTAGCCATTCACCATGTTTCAGAAAAAAATGTATAGTATTTTGCAGTTTACAAAGAAAATGGATTCACCTTTTAAAATGACAAAGACTATTTATTGTTTTGCTTTTTATATGGTAGGCACTATGTTGTGTATCCTACTTATAGCTAATTTAATCTTTACAAGAATGTTATAGACAATACTTATTTGTTATTTTCTTAACTGTCACATTGTAAGAAAGCAGAATTGCTAGCATTCAAATCTAGGTCTATTTTGCATGGCTTCAAACCTGTTCTCTTAGGTTACTCTGTAGCAGCCTAGATAACATAAACTTTCAGTTTCACACCTCTGAGCATTCATTTACTTTGTTTCCTGCATTTGATTCCTCTAATTCTTCCCCATCTGTGAAAAATCTCATATACCTTTCATCTTGCTGTTGTAAGCTTACTGTATATACATACTCTCACAGCACCTTGTTCTTACATTAAAATAGCTATTTCACTTTGGGTTCCCCACTATATTTCAAACTCTTCAAGGGCTAGGGTTATGTCTTATTTGTTTGTTTTCCCTTTATACATGACCTTGAAATTTCTACATTTTCAATAAATGTTTCTTAAAGGAATGACTTAAATGACTTTCCCTTCACCTGCAATAATATTCATGCTTACATTTTTATCTTACTGTTTCAGTAGAAGAATTATTCTATGGCTTTAACTCTTGATGTTATTAAACCCTCAGTAATCTTTTATTTTTACTCTTTAGCCAATAAACATAAATAAGACTTCTATCATCTTTAAAAAGTATTAAAACATTTACCTGGTCTTAAGCTACTATACTATTGCTGGTCCTTTCTTAGGCATCAAATTTTTAGAAAGTGTAACCTACAACACTATCTACTTTTAACTCCTGTCTCCTCACTTAGTACAGTTTAGTTATTAGCCAGCCTAACCACTTTCTTAACTTTTGAATCACATTGAACTCCTTATTGACAGATTTAATGGCTTCCTTTTTATTTATTTATCAGGAATAATTCAGTCATCATTTATATTGTATTGTGTTTCTTTCTCATCATTTTTCTATGAATATATGTATATACATACACATGTGCTTACATGCACATACACAAATATGCCTGTATATAGATTTTTACATCTGGACTTGTGGTAATTTTATTATTCAAAAAATAGTGCCATTTCTTTGGGGTGAATTGTAAGGAGAGAATTATATATTTGTACTTCATTGACTTCAAATATGTCGAAATGATTTGTTTTGCCTAATGGAATGTGAGCATAAGTGACGTTGCTGAAAGGAAGATTTAAGAGCCACCACATGCTCCTCCAAGCCTCTCTTTTTCTTTGACCTCAAGGCTGACATGGAAGCAGCTCCTTCAGCCTAGGTTCCTAGAGAAAAGGAGTAGAGCAGAAACCAACTGTAACTGATATGTAATATGAGTGAGAAATAAACTTTTGTTGCAATCCACTAAGATTTGGGTTTGTTACCAAAAAGTAATTTAGTCTAAGCTCATTTATATAGGGATCATATTATATACACAAATTTATATTTTATACAAACATATTATGCTTGTATGTTATAAAAATTAATATCGAAAAGTATGAAAAGAGTAAGAGTAGCCCACAAACCTATCCTTTATAGTTTACCATTTTACCATCTGCTTTCCAGCTTCACATATATTCAGAGCAAACTGACAGTTATACAGGTTATTCCCTTGGGTTTTCCTCCTACTTTCCTAATAATGATAACTTTTCAATTTCTTTTAAATATTTGTACTAATTTCCTGCTGTTTTTACATTGACTTTTGTTTCTAGAATAATATAGGTTATACTAGATATCCTAGTCTTACTTCTTCGGTGGAAATGTATCTGCTCCTCACTATGACATGCGATTTTTTGTTTGTTTAAAGATACATTTTTTATCATGAAACCCAGTACTTGTCTAGTCTATTAAGAATTTCTGCTTTGAATGAGTGTTGAATTTTTATTAAATACCTCCTTTATTGGTATATATTGAAATTTCCATAAAGGTTCAATTTTATTTAGTTTTAAAAAATATTAGATGTTTTATGCTATGAGTTATTCTTGGTTTATATTATTTTTATTTTCTAAATATCTGCATCTTTGGGTTGATTTCTTCTTTGACTTCGTAATGTCTAAGGAAGAATTTTAACATATTATACCCCGTTGAGGCGGTTTTTGTTTTTTTTTAACCGAATATGAATATTTAATTTTTTTATAATCAATATTTTTATTATGATATTGTGGGGTACAGTTAAGGGTTAGGTATACAAATTTGCTTCGTTCAGGCACCCTTGTTGATAAGGGGTGTCTCCCTGTTCCCAGCCAGTTGAGGTTTTAATTGATATTTTATTTTTAGATTTCTACTTCTGTTGCATTGTCTGTTGTTATGTTTTGGAAGTGTTTTTGGTATTTTCTTTGTGCTCTAAAATATAGTCACTGTTTATGGATATTTGTAAGATGCCACCAAGGGGAGAAAATTGATTAAGAGAATATAGGATCTTTCTCCTTGATTGAAATTGTTTCAGTAGATTGGTACCAGCTTTTATTTTTTTTAATGTATATTTTATTTTAAAGATGTGTTTGGTAGAATTCAACTGTGAATTCATCTGGTCCAGGACCTTTTTTGGTAGGTAGTTTTTATTATGGATTCAATTGCATGGCTTATTATTTGTCTCTACAGTATTTCAATCTTTTCCTATTTCAGTCTTTGGAAGTTTTGTGTTTGCAGTAATTTATTTAGTTCTTCTAGATTTTGAATCTTATGCAAATACTGATGCATATAATAATTGTTGAAAATCTTTTGTATTTATTTCGGAATCAATTGTAACATTGCCTTTTTCATTTCTGATTGTATTTATTTGGATTTTCTCTTTTTTGTTGTTGTTGATCTGGCAAATGGTCTATCAATCTTGTTTCTTCTTTCAAATGACCAAATGATTTTTTTTTTTTCACCTTTGGTTTAGTTCTTGATTTTATAGTTCTCTTAAGTGACATGTTAGGTTGTTTATTTGAGATTATTCTATCTTCTTGATGTGGGTATGTAGTGTTATAAACTTTCCTCTTAGCACTGATTTTGTGACTTCCCAGAGGTTTTAGTAATTGTGTCCTTACTTTCATTTGTTTCAAAGAATATTTTTTTTTTTTGTCTTTGTTTACCCCAAAATTGTTCAGGAGCAAGTTATTTTGTTTCTAAGTATTTGTGTGCTTTAGAGGGTTCCTGTTGGTGTTAATTTCTATTTTTAGTATGCCATTGTCAGAGAAAATGCTTTGTATGATTTTGATTTTATGGAATTTATTGAGACTTGATTTGTGATCAAGCATGTGATTGATCTCAGAATATGTTCCATGTGCAGATGAGAAAAATATATATTCTGTGGTTGTTGGGTGAAGATGTATATTCTGTAGATGCCTATTAGATACAATTGGTCAAGTATAAAATTTAAGTCTAGGATTTCTTTTTTAGTTTTCTGCCTTGGTGATCTGTCTAAAGCTGTTAGTGATGTGTTGCAGTCTTCTACTCTTACTGTGTAGTTGTCTAAGACTTCTTTTAGGTTTAGTAGTAATTGTTTATAAACCTGGGTGCTCCAGTATTGAGTGCATACATATTTCGGATAGTTAATACTTCTTGTTTGATTGAGCACTTTATCATTATGTAATGCCTGTCATTGTCCTTTTTTACTGTTTTGGTTTAAAGTTTGTTTTATCTGATACAAGAATAGTGACTCTCTTTTTTGTTTTCCGTTTGTGTGGTAACTCTTTCTCCATCCATTTGCCTTGAGCCTATGAGTGTCTTTAGAAGTGAGGTAGATCTCCTGAAGACAGCAGAAAGATGAATTTTTTTTTATCCAGTGTACTACTCAGTATCTTTTTTTTTGAGTTGGAGGCTTACTCCTTCACCTGGCTGGAGTGCAGTGGTACGCACGCTCACGGCCACCCCAGCGTCGACCTGCTGGACTCCAGCGATCCTTCTGCCTCAGCCTTCCGAGTAGCTAGAACTACAGGTGCATACTACCATGCCCAGCTATTTTTTATTTTATTGTAGAGATGAGGTCTCGCCAAATTGCCCAGGCTGGTCTCGAAACCTGTGGGCATAGGCAGTCCACTCCTCTTGGCCTCCCAAAGTACTGGGATTATAGGCTGAGCCACCGAGCCCGGCCTACTCAGTGCCTTTTAAGTGGTGGCATTTAGGCTGTTGACATTCACAATTCGTATTGGCATGTGAGATTTATTCCTGCCATACTATTCTTAGTTTTGTGGTTGACGTACTTATATATGGTCTGTAAAATATGTACTTGCATGTACTTTTGTGTTAGGTGATATTTTTTCTTTGGTTTCCATATCTCTTGTAGGGACGTTCTAGAGGTGATGAATTCCCTTAGCGCTTCTTTGTTTTGAAAGGTCTTTATTTCTCCTTCATTTATGAAAGTGGGGCAGCAAATTTTTGGCTGGTATTTCTTTTCTTTAAGAATGCTAAAAATAGGTGCCTAATATCTTCTGGCTTGTAAGGTTTCTTCTGAGAGGTCATTTATTAGTTTGAAGGGGTCCCTTGGTAGATCATCTGTCCCTTCTCTCTAGCTGTCTAAGGTTTTTTCTTTTGCAATGACTTTGAATAATCTGATGACTATATTCCTTTGGGATGATTATCTTGTATAGTATCTTGCAGGTGTTCTCTGAATTTCTTGTATCTGTATGTTAGCCTTCCTAGT